GGTCTGGTGATTTCATGTACCTTTGCATTGTGGTTCCTGTATTCGCTTTGTTTTTCCCTCATCCTGGAAATATCTGGTTGCAGTTTCAATCTGCCGCCACCATGTGGGGGTTAAGGACTGTGTATTCTGAGCCCCCTGCGCTCTGCCCCAGCTGCTTGCTGTGATCGGCTGGCCACTTGGTCTGGTCTGGTCGGCTGAGCTGCAGTGTCCGGCATGTGGGGGTTGGGGGGAGCGCTCTCTCTTTTGCCCGCTGGGTGCCTGGTGTGGGGGGCTTCTCGCTCGCCCCTTGTTATCCACTCTTCTGGGGTGCTCAGATGTTGATGGTACCCCTGTAGCAGTTGAGTCCTCTGTGTGGGAGTTTCCCACTGGCTGAGAGAGCCCAAAGAGCTACGGTTTCTCCACAGAGGGCCGCCCCTCCCTGCTCTCTGGGAGCCACGCAGACTGGGATCGCTGATCTGATGGGGAGGGAGAGGAGTTCTCCTTACCTTTCCCCACTTCCTCCGTGAGCCCCAGCACGTTCCACTCTCAGATGTGCAGCAGTGTGGATCTTTCCGATCTTCCTTTTCGCCGTCTAGGAGTCCGTTGTTGGTCTGTGACTGTTCCTTTTGTTGTATCTTATCAGGGGAAGAGTTTACGGGAAAGCTCATTCCACTGTGGCACTGACATCACTGGTTTATTTTTTAACATATGATCAAATTAACTCACGTTTTCAAAATCTACGTCTTAACTCATGGCAAGTAAAGTCAATGAAGGGATGGTGGAAAGTTTTCATTATTTTAGAATTATTAAATTCAGTGCCATCTTAAAGCAAGGGAAGGTTTAACATCACCAGGTCCTTTTCAGCACCATTATTTTGTTGCACTAACATACTGAATCTGGGACAGGCCAAATGGAAGTACTGCTAATAAAATAATGTTCAGCTTACCTTGAGAATGTAAGATAAGGAATATTTTCTTTGCCATGTTTGGCTTTAATTGTTTGATAAGATATCCAAATGAAATCATGTAATAAATGACCAGGGACAGTGTGAGAGCTTCCCTGGCAAAAGGAACAATGAGAACAGAGCATGGCTCCTTTAGGTGACTGCAGGTAATGTATGATGGATGGAATTCAGGGTGAGCGTTAGAGTGGGGGGCTTGGGTGCAGAGGAGTATAGCTGAGTGAGGTCCTGAGGAAGAGAGGACTGGAATTTGGACTTCACCCTCTTTGGGTAATGAGAGCCATTAAAGGAAACAGTAACTTACTTAGATCTGCTTTTTAAAAAGCTGGCTTGGTGTCTTGAAGGCAGAGGGGAGTAGGAATTGAGGCTAGGAGACCAGAGTAGAAACTGTTATGGTAACTTGAGAGAAAAGAGAGCCAGAGCTAAGGCAGTACTGCATGAGTGGAGGAGGAAGTGATGACCTCAACCTCCAGGGATGTTAAGAAAGTAGAGTCAGTAAGAATTGTTCATGGCTTGGATGTGGAGTAAAAGAGAGGAGTCTTCCTCTAGGATGATTTCCAGGCTCCAGACTCAGTTGCAAGGGTGGATGATGCTGTTCTCCTGCTCTTCACTGAGATAAGCTGAAGAATAAGTTTAGTGAGAAAGATACTAAATTAATTTTGAGGTGCAGGTGTGTAGAAGAATGGTGGAGGGCGCACAATGAAATCTGGGGATCCAGCCTGAAGACCACTTGCCCGAGGTCACGCAGGTGTACAAGTGGTGAAGCTAGGATTTGAGCCCATGCAATGTGACTCCAGAAACTGCATCCTTACCCATCACATTACATGGCCTTCTCAAGAGATTTAAGACAAAGTCAGAGAAGCTAAAAGGGGCAATTTTGACACAGTGAAAGAACGCACTTTGTGATTATTTAATGAAATTATAAGGTAAATTAAATACTAAGAAGATACGTTTATATTAGACTGAAAAAAATTAGAAGCCTATTATTTCAGTAGAGTTATGACAGAAAAAACAGATAAAGACAGTCCATTCAAGAGGTGAGATATCAGTATTTAAATTTGAATATAAACTTTTCATGGGTATCTTTATCATTCTTTTTTTTTTTTTTTTTTAAGTACTATGTAAGTAACGTCCAAGTAAGCCAAAAGGTTTAAAACATCCACCCCAGTCTGCCACCCACAGTTAACCACTGTTAACATTTTGGTTTACATTTTTCTAGCCTTTTTTCTATGCATATATCATCATCATACATACAAAAATGTAAATGCGCTAGTGCTTTATAACATGCACTTTTCACTTAAAATGTAATAAATACAACTGAAATAATTTAAGTCACAAGTCTCCTGTATTTCTTTTTATGTCTCATTTTCACTCTTCATTAAATCAACCTAATCGAGGTTCTTGCCTTCTTTTGCCTATAATTAAAACAATTTTTTTTGTTTTGTTTGCAACTATAAATTAAAAGTATAAATGCTGTTTAAGATAATAGGATTTAATCCCTTCTAAACAAAGAAAATTGAAAGTAGTTATAAGATGGATTTCACTTTTCTTCTTAAGGTTTTAATAGAAAAGGATTGGATCTCCTTTGGACATAAATTTTCAGAGAGGTGAGTCACAGTTATACATTTATATATTTTGTAAAATTAGTAAAACTAGTTTAGAATGCCACAGTATTTCTGTTCTACGTGGACGCGCATGTCCAATGGGAGTGAGAGTGTTATGGTTTTTTGTATGAAGACTGATTTAATTTTTTCTGTCATTTCTTTCAATTCTCATACCTTTGTTAATTTTCATAACAATTTATTACCTTCTTTTTTCTCTGGATTACAGTAGTTAGAAGGTAGCAGATCCTTTAAAATTGTGGTTGAAAAATTCATAGGTGTAAATTGTTTCAGTAAAAACATTACAGTTGTCTTTTGTGCCAATGTAATCATGTTTCAGGATTTTTTAATATTTTGTATGTGTGTTTAAATTTAACAATACCTGAACAATTGACTTCTTTCAGAAGCATTTTTAAAAGCTTATGCTTTCTGGGGGATTAGGTGTGGCCATTTGGACGGTGACCCAAAGGAAGTCTCGCCGGTGTTTACCCAGTTCTTGGAATGTGTGTGGCATTTGACTGAACAGTTTCCACAAGCCTTTGAATTCAATGAAGCGTTTCTTCTTCAGATCCATGAACATATTTATTCATGTCAATTTGGAAACTTCCTTGGAAATTGTCAGAAGGAAAGAGAAGAACTCAAGTAAGATGATTTGATTAAAATGGGCTCTTATTTTCATACCTAGCTGAGGTCTAACATAAATCATAATTGAACTTAAAATATCTTGACAGTATGAAATAGAACTGAATTTCATTGTCTGTATCTCTGAAAATATCCCTTGTACCCTCAGGTCAATAGTAAAAATAGATTTTTAAAATTTGTTTTGAAGTGTAGCATACATACAGAAAAGTACACATAGCTTAGGTGTGAAACTCAGTAAATCTTAAAGTCATCCTTCTATGTAACCAGCACCCAGAACAAGAAACATTGCTAACACCCTAGAAACCCTCCTCATGCTCCTTTCCAGTCTTAATATATGTTTAGAACAGAAAAATCTTTATACTTTTATGTCCTAGAAAGTATTGGTCGCTATTTTTAAAGTGTTAAAAGATTTAAAAACTATTGATTTTAAGGTAAAATGAAGCCTTGTAGCTCTCCTCACATTTCTAAACAGGCAGTTCTTTGGGAAAATAAATCTACCTATGTTGGTTTCAGTGTGTCTGTTCCTGAATTGGGTCCCATACCTGTTCTTCCCTCACTAGTCTTTGGGAGTAGGGGTTTCTGGCTAAACTTTGATGCAAGGGAGATCTGGGGTAAGGCTGTGAGAGGTCCATATATATCTTTTTAGGTTGGGCTTCTGAGTTTGGATTTCTGACAGTAGTCAATAAAGAGCACTTACAGATTCTTGAACATTCAAGTGACATATTAGAGAAGCTAAATCTAGTACTAGTTTGAAGATAGCCATGTACTCTCACTCCCAACAGAGTTGAAGGTGGAACTGAGAGCACATGGAAGATTCTAAAGATGTGTTAAGGGAATAACAAGTGAAAAAGAGTATGACAGAGGTGAACAAATCAAAAGACATTAAGACTTTAGCTCTGTGCTATAGTAATTCACAGTAGTTTATCATAATTTAGAGCAAGTGACTCTTAGAGTACAGAGCTATTTTAGGAAAAACTATTCTCAATTAGTGCCAAACATCCTCATAAATAGGAAGATGGTAATAAAAACACTTATTTCCTAGTAGTCTTTCTTTAAGAACACACCTCTGGGTCATCTTAGGGGTCATGGAAAATGAGCAGATTGTCCACGTTTCCTTATCTGTTTTATGTTTATTTGGTAAATACACTATCTAAAATCATTCTACCCTTTACCCACTTGCTTCACTTACTTACTCTTAGATTTGCAATACAATTGGCACTTTTTTACTCTTAAATAATGTCCTGATTTTTCCTAATTCCCTTTTTTGTACCCACTCACACTTAAATTTGTCCCTACCCTGTAATACATGCCACTACAGCCCAGATATGGGGCCAAGAGAATAAGGCCAGAGAGATCCATTAGTATTTTATTCTGTATATGTGTGTGTGGTGATTTGAGATAGGTGTAACAGAGACAAAGTTTATGAAATTGTGTGAATCAAGAGAGGAATCTCTTCAAGTGTATGGTTGTGAGAGAACTGTTTACCTGTGTTGTGTTCATGAGACATGGTTTTATTTATTACATGATTACACGTGGAAAAGGAGAAAAGGGAGAATACAAAATTCAGAGACAAGGTGAGGTTAAGCTGTGAATGCAAGGAAAAACTAAAACTTAAATCTACTTGGGAAGCAATTGCCTGATTTATAAAAATGAGTAGTAGCATCTATGGGAAAGATATTTATGTTTTTCTCATTGCATTAAGGTTCAAGGAGAAGACTTACTCCCTGTGGCCGTTTCTTTTGGATGACCAAAAGAAGTACTTAAATCCTCTCTACAGCTCCAAATCTCAGAAATTTGCAGTTTTGGAGCCAAATACAGTATCTTTCAATTTTAAGTAAGTTGACATTATTGAAGTATTTATACTCGATTTTTCTCAAATAAATTTATTGACAGGTTTTTTTTTTTTTTGTCATAAAGGTTTTGGAGAAACATGTACCACCAATTTGATCGAACATTGCATCCTAGGCAGTCTGTGTTTAATATAATTATGAATATGAATGAGCAAAATAAACAGTTAGAGGATGATATTAAAGACTTAGAATCTGTAAGTATTCTGAAGTATCCAATGTAATATATTTGGAATATTAAATTAGTTGATTTCCTTACTTGTGTTGTCAGTGTAAATTAGTATATATAGAAACCTTGTAAGTACATGTGGTTGCTTCAAAATCAGATCTTCTCTGCTTCAAAATCAGATCTCCTCTACTTCAAATAGGTTAGTTTGAATCACTTTCCCTGAAATTTTAAAATATATTGAAATGTATTTAAAAATATATTGAAATACAGAGAAAAGTAGAGATATAAACATAATAAATATTAGGGTATCCACGACCTAGCTTTGTGAGATTTTAACATTTATCATATTTACTTCAGATCTTTCATTTTTTGTTTTAAGAAATAAAACATTGTAGAAATATCTGAAGACCCTGTGTACTCCTACTCAGTCTTCCCCGCCTGCCTTCACTCTGCTGAATTTGGTGTTAATCATTCCTGTGCAATTTTTTTTTTTTTTTGTCTGAGGAAGACCGGCTCTGAGCTAACATCTATTGCCAATCCTCCTCCTTTTTTTTCCCCAATGCCCCAGTAGATAGTTGTATGTCATAGCTGCACATCCTTCTAGTTGCTGTACGTGGGATGCGGCCTCAGCATGGCCGGAGAAGCGGTGTGTCGGTGCACGCCCGGGATCCGAACCCGGGCAGCCAGTAGCAGAGCGCACGCACTTAACCACCAAGCTACAGGGCCGACCCTCCTGTGCAATTTTTTATATTTCTGTATATGTTTGTATCCACAGACAATTTATAATATTGTTTTCTATGATTTAAAATATTATTTTTATTATATATTGAAAAAATACAAAAGAATATAGTTTTTCTATAAAGTATGTAGGGCAACAAACAGCACAAATGCCCATGTACCCTTCACTCAGCTTAAGAAACGGCATGTTTTAAAACTAGTATATAAAGGTTGTCATACTATCATGCTTCATTTTGCTTAACGTTGTTTTCACATTTTGTCCATGTTGATACCGATAGCTTTAATTCATCTATTTTATTAATAACTGCTGTATAGTATTCTCTTCTATGAAAATGTCACAGTCTATCTATTCAGCTGCTGCTGAACATTAAAATTGTTTTCAGTTTTAGGCTTCCATGATAACAAGTGAAGTTGAATGACTTTCCATATATTTGTTGGCTATTTGGTTTTTCCTTTTCTGTGAATGGACTATTGAAACCTGTGCTCATTTTTCTTCTGGCATATTGGCCTTTTTGTTATTGATTTCTTAGAATTCTTTAAATAGCGGACACTAATTCTTTGTTAGTTTATATATATATCACAAATGGCTTTGTCCAGCCATTTTTGTCTTTTCCATTTTATTTGTGGTATGTTTTGTATAGATGTTTTGAGTTTTAATGTAGTCAAATTGATCAATCTTTATGTTTTATGCCTTTTTGTGTATCTTGTTTAAGAAATCTCTCTCCACCCTAAGACTTTCTTATAAACCCTTCTTTGCCATCATATATAACCAAGAAGGGTCAGTAAGTACATATTTTAAAAACTCTACACAGTCATTATAACTCTGTAAGACTATCTTGTCTGCCTCTCAGGCAGGAATGTTCCTTAGTCATCTCTCAGATAAGGAAATAGTGACTGCTTGAGTAAACTATACAAGGATATGTTAAGAGAGGCAAGCCCAAGACATAGGTAATACAAGAAAACCATCTGGAGATCAGTCCAAGGATTTGGAGACCGTGGTACTCTGCCAAAGAACTTTTAAAAATCTTCTTTTCTGTTAAAAAAAAAAAAACAAAACTGTTGTGTTCTACAGTCTCTTGTGGTCACCTAACAAACCATTATAGGAAAACCGTGTAAGAAAGCTCTTGGGGCCGGTCAGGTGGCATAGTGGTTAAGTTCGCACACTCCACTTTGGCAGCCCAGGATTCGCGGGTTCGGATCCTGGGCACAGACATATACACCGCTCATCAAGCCACGCTGTGGCAGCATCCCACATGCAAAATAGAGGAAAATTGCCACAGATGTTAACTCAGGGACAGTCTTCCTCAAAAGAAAAAAAAGAGGAGAATTGGCAACAGATGTTAGCTCAGGGCTGATCTTTCTCACCAAAAAAAAAACCTCTTTAGGCAATGTAAACCTTTACCTAAATAAGTGTGTCTCTGTTGTATTATATAGTCGTGATTTCAGGGTGACTGTCTTGTATACATTTCTTTCATTATAAAATGTTTACTTTTTATGCTTTCTAGGTAATGTATGTCCTTTTCAAATATGAAGGCCTAGTGTTCTTCTGCAGTCAAGTATAATAACTAAGCATTTTCCATTGCAAAAGTAAATAATTAGGATTCTTCTATGTCTTATTCATTTGCACTAGATTTTATTAATTTTTTGAGGTTTCATTGTGTATTGTACATAAAGAGAATATTTGCAAAAGCATGTTTTCTTCTTTCATCTGACATATATTGAACACGTAGTATGTGCAATTAGTAATTTTTTTCAAATTTTTATTTGTTTTAGAAAATTAAGCAACATGAAAATAAGCAAACAGATGGAGTTCTCACCAGGGAATCGTTACATTCAGTTCGTCCTGAATCACCTACCCTCAAAACTTCCTTGTGTTTTAAGGAGCAAACTCTGCTACCTGTGAATGATGCTCTTCGAACTATAGAGGGCAGCATCCCAGCAGATAATCGGTATAGTGAATACGCTGAAGAGTTTTCCAAATCGGAACCTGCTGTGGTCAGCTTAGAGTTTGGCGTGGCGAGAATGACTTGTTAGACTCATAGGGTATTTTCTGGACTGACGGTAGTGCAAGAAATGGATTATTGTGAGGATGATCTGTGTGCATGACCAAAAGGAATTTGTCTATTAATAATCTTAGAGTTTAACAGTAGGCTGATAGTTGAAGGATAATAACTGCTCTTGTGAGAGAAATAAGTCAGTTTAATTGCATTTCTAGCAAAGAATGACTTTCAGTTCTTTAAGAAACGAGTGGTATTGGCAAATTAACTCAAAACACAGTTTGTACTGTATACTAGTGAATTGACATTTCTGTATGATTTATATGTTAATTACAGGCAAACATGAATAGCCTTCTTTAAGTTTAATTTAATTACCAGAAAACAAAACTTGACAAAGTGGTCCCTTACTTAATAATTGACATGGCATGTACTTTTGATTATGTAACTATGTAACTGAATATTTACATATTTTGCCTATTAGTGTTGTTTAATATTGAAGTGCCATGAAAAATATTTCTAAGAAAGCCTTAAAATCTCAGTTTATTCTTTACTCTTAAGTTTTAGGGCCTAGAGCAAGGTTTTTTGTTTTGTTTTGGTTTTGGTTAGCCTTGTTTTATTTGTAAGAAATTGCACTCTCATTACTGTAGGAGTTGCATGCTACAATACTTCTCTATGAATAGTTGTAGAAGTACACTGTTAAGTTCATGTTTAGTTGGTCCCACTTCCGTATTCAAAATTAATGAAACTGAAGGTTTTTTTCTGATTATAATTTGTTGAGTGCTACATTTGATGACTTATTTACAACTTTGACAGATTATTGATTTCTTGACTATGTATAAGCACATTTGACTGTCTTTTGTGTATGGATTATGCATTCTATTGGTTCTTATTTTGTGGTTGGTTTTATTCCTTTGATAACTGTAAGTTTAAAAAGCTAAAGCTCTAAAACTGTTCTTAGAAACAATGAATAGCATATATATATGTGTATTTTTAAACTGTTTTAACTCTCAATAAGTTGTTCTTCCTGGAATAAACTTTCAGCTTACCCCAAAGTTTTGGGGTTAAAAAAAGAGAAGTACAAATAGTTTAGGTTTTGCTTAGTCCCATGAATTTGAAAGCAGTCATTTCTATGTGGAACATTTTTTTCTTCTCTGTTAACATAGGGAAAAAAAGGAAAATTAAGGATAGCCTAGTAAAAAGTTAATGTTTAACAGAAACAACTTAAATGCCAGGAAGAGTTTCATTTTGCCATGTTATGTTAACTGTTTATTCTGTGTACTAGTACATATCTTTCAATTACACACACACACAAAATCACTTGCAATTGGCAGTATCACCCTGCTGGCTTTAAAACTGAAAATTTAAGTAAGATGGGTGGCATGAGGTATGATTCAAGGGTACTAGGAAATCTGCATAGAATCCCTCGTGCTTCTCTCTATTATACCCACACCTATTATATTAGTTTTAAACATAAACAAATACCTTTTTCAAATGGAACAAGAGCCTTATCGTATTAGAGCTTATCTAATCCTGTTTATTTTTCTAATGCTTTTCTGTAACGCATATTATGTAATAAGAAAAAGACTCTTTTTAAAATAGTAACAGAAATGCACTATAAAATACAGTTTGTGATTTAACCAAACCTATTTCCATATTTAAGCACTGGGACAGGAATCTTAATCTGTGTGACCACAAAGGGAAGCTTTTGTGCCTTGTTACTTGGTTTGAGTTACTGATTGTGGTTTTAGACCTTCCATGGTAGACTTCTTATAGTCAACTCTTTGATTTATTTTCTTAATCTTCAACTTGGGGCATGTATATGTTTGTTTATATGCTCACACATGGACTGAGAAATCAGTTAACATCCTAAGTGACCTACAGGGTATATGTTGGCAAAAAGCAGATTGTGTATATGTCTTATAAAATTGAATTTACATTCAGTGTGTTTGAGAATGTATAGCATGTAAATTATTACATATATTATTTAAAAGTAATTAAATGTTTCATGTTTTATTTTGAATGTTTTTCTTTTGGTAAAAACAAATGGAATCAAGTTGTGGTGGTTTTTTTTTTTTCCTCACCTAGGCAAATGGACCTGCACATTACCCTAATTATAACAAAATAAGGTTTGAGCAGTTCGTTTTCCAAAAGGTGGATGTTCGTAAATAACTGTTAGATACAAAAATAGTTTCCAAAATATTTAAAATAGGCATAGTAGGCTAAAAGGTTCAGCAGATTTAGTTGATAATGTCATTAAATTTTCCTTTTGCTCCTGTCACTTCCTGATGGTATAATTAGTATTTTATTATGCCCTTACCAACTTGTTGATGGAAGGCAATGTCTGATGAGTATGTACGTTCAAGGTGAAATGTCTCTCCAAAGGCAGATCTGGATGTAAATATGAGGAAGAACATGACTGGTGAGAAGAGTGTAACTTTATCTGGGAGTACTTTGAACAGGTTAGCTAGGCTAAAAGTAGCTCAGGGAATCTTCATGGAAGGAAGTCTTTTTTTGTTGTTTTAATTCTCTTTATTTGATGCGGTAGCAGGGCAGGGGTAGTGTCAGGCTAATCCTTTTTTCTTTTTTTTTAAGACTATTTTTTTAGAGCAGTTTTAGGTTCCCAGCAAAATTCAGAGGAAGGTCCAGAGATATCCCATATACCCTCTTCCGCTATGCATGCATAGCCTCCCCCATTATCAACATCCCCAACCAGAGTGGTACATTTGTTACAATTGGTGAACCTACATTGACACATCATCACCCAAAGTCCATAGTTTACGTTAGGGTTCACCCTTGGTGTTGTATATTCTGTGGGTTTGGACAAATGTATAATGACTTTATAGTATCATACAGAGTATTTTCATTGCCCTAAAATTTTCACTGCCCTTAAAATCCTCTGTGTTCTGCCTATTCATTCCTCCTCCTCCCCCCAACCTCTGGCAACCACTGATCTTTTCACTGTCTCCGTAGTTTTACCTTTTCCAGAATGTCATGTAGTAGGAATCATACAGTATGTGGCCTTTCAGATTGGCTTCTTTAACTTAGTAATATGCATTTAAGGTTCCTCCAGGTTTTTTTCACGGCTCCAGCTCATTTTTTTCTAGCACTGAATAATATTCCATTCTCTGAATGTACCACAGTTTATTTGTCCATTCACCTATTGTAGGACATCTGGGTTGCTTCCAAGTCAAGTTTGAATAAATCTGCTATGAACATCCTTGTGCATGTTTTTGTGTGGACAGAAGTTTTCAGTTCTTTTAGATAAATACCAAGGAGCATGATTGCTGGATTGTATGGTAAGAGTATGTTCAATTTTGTAAGAAACTGCCAAACTCTTCCAAAGTAGCTGTACCATTTACATTCCCACCAGCAATGAGTGAGAGTTCCTGCTGCTTCATATCCTGGCCAGTGTTTGGTGTTGTCATTGTTATGGATTTTGGCCATTCTGATAGGTGTGTAACCAGACTTGCTTTACCACCACCCCCCTCCCCCCCCGCAAAAGGTCAGCTTTAGAATACTGAAAAATTTCCAGTTGGCATTCTAAGTTGGATAAAATGCTGATCATCTGCAAAACTATATAGAGCAGTTGCAGACTTTTATCGATGATGTTGATCCATTTTCATTAGCAAGTTTTACCTTTTTTGTTGGCATTTGCATGCAGCAGTCCAATTTGCATTGATGTATCTTGATTGATTAAATAAAATAAAATGTAGAACCCATTTTTAAAAATACATAACTATAAGCTTTAGGAACCTGTATCTAGAAAAAAAGACAGCCTGTAATCTAGAATTATCTCAAAAAGAGTATATATGTTCTATTGTACTTGCCATCTTATAAGAAAATAAAACTAATTTCTGCCATTTTTATAAACAGTGCTACTCTATTTCTAAGCAAGTAAAATATCCTTTTGCACAACAACTTTTATAAAATAGTGGAATGTATAACTAAAAGTAACTTTCAGAAGCTGCTTAGTAGTAGACTCTTAAAGCCCTAGTCTTTGAGCTTCTGATTCAGCAAGTGTGAGTTGGGACTCTGGAGTTAAAAGCATTTGCGTAGCAATAAAGCATTTGCATTTAAAATATTTTGGAGATTCTGATGCAAAATGGTAGAAGAATCACACTCTGAAAAACACTGTCCTAAACCACCTATCCTGATCAGTAAGCATTTCTCTTGTTCTTAGAGGAAAGGCATAATTACTCTTGTATGAAGAGCAATAGATTGGGGCGCAGCATACTTCTGAAATATTGCTACACAAGTAGGAGTGAGAAATCTTTGTTTCAAGTCACTGAGAGTTGGGGCTCTTTTGTTACTGTAGCATAACCTAGTCCATCCTGAATGATGAAGCCATTAGCACACCTAAGAAGTTATTTCTCTGATTTTCTTTTAAAGTCCAGTCCCTCATTGTCCCCAAGTGGCCTTTTACTTGTTATTTTTGCACTCATATCCAGTTAAGGTTTATGCATTGTGTTTGGTTATGGCTCTGTAGTCTCTTTATCTTGAACAGTCCTCTCACCTTTCCCCTTTTGCACTGACTTCTTGAACCAGTCCAGTTGTAGAGTCTCACACCACTTTCTGCATTTGTCCAATTGTTTCCTCATGGTGTTGACACAAATAATCCATAATCTATAAATCAAAATTGGGGTGAGTTTATTATGAGCCAGATCTGAGGACCATATAGCCCGGCAGAGTCCTTTCACAAAGGAATGGAGCACACCAAAGAAGTGGAGTGTGCAGAGTGGTTAATATACCATCAAAGAGCTTGTGTCACGTGATTGGAATGTCCCTTTTACAATAGTTACGAGATTGCTGGCATAGCATTTCCGCAATTCCATGAACACAGCAGGTCGGTGGTCTCCAGCTGGGTGGTCACAAGGTTTAGCGCAGCAGGTCAGCAATCAATCCCTAGCCTAGGGAGAGAAGCTTATCCTTAAGGAAATGCCGATGTGGGGGAAGTTACATCCTTATCTTTAAGGGCGTTGTTCTTGTCTTTGGGACATAGTAAATACTTAAAGCAGATGTACAATGCATGCTCAATGGCCACCTGGCCACCCACGTCAGGCCCTTTTGGGAAAACAAGTTCAGGCCAAGTTAGTTTTACACCGAATGACTTCCTCATATTCTCCAATATATCCTATTGCTTGTCATTTATTTATCAATGGTGTAGTTTAACTAGTTCTTCTGTCTGCTGTACCTCCTGTAAAGTAGGCACTGGATGAGATTCAGATTGAGCATTTTAGAAAAGATGATGTATACTTTGCGGGGGATCAGAATTGGCTACCCCAAAATATGTCTCTTTGGCATGAGGATTATTTTGGGCTGGTTACTTTTGAGAAACTGCAGACAAGGGAGAAGCTCTGAAAAGTAGAAGTTACCCTTTATAAGAGACACTTAACATTTGTAAGGGAAATCTCCATTTGTAAAGGTGTCTTTCTCTGTACCAGGAAGAAAGGGGGATGACCTTATCTCTAGAAACTCTTATCAATGTGGAATGCAAGGACTTAAATCGGCATAGTAACCTTACTCTTATTTACTGTGCTTTTCTGCTAATCTGCTGTAACTGACTCCCCCCACCCCCAACATCCTCCTTTGTCTTTAGCTGAAGATGGTATTTAAGATGACAACCTCGGCCATTTTGGCGATTTGCTCAGTGTTCCTGAGTTTCTCCCATGTATACATGATATCAAGCTTTGTTTGATTTTCTTCTATTACTCTGTCTCATGTCAATTTAATTTGTAGCCCAGCCAAAAGGACCTAGAGGGTAGAGGATTTGTCTTCCTCCCCTACAACTTCATTCTGAATTCCTCAGGAGAGTATAATGTCAGGCTGTTCTGCTGTTAGGATGCTAAATTGGTTGCATAGGGTGCACTTGGTTGATCTCCCCAGTGTGAAGGTAGAACTTTTCCTTTATACTTAGCAAATGTTCTGCAGGGTGATATTTTGTTATCAAAATGAATATCCCATTCCATAACAAGCTATCCATTGATGCTATTTGCCTGAATCAGTTATTTCATTGGGTGTTCCAAAATGGTGATTTTCTAATTTGTCTTCCTTTTTACATTTATTTGCTGGCATTCTTTAAAGAAGTGCTTTCACCCATCAAATGGGAAAATTCCTCTGAAAAAGGGCATCGTAAATGCTTAATTCTTCCCCTTTAATCACTGATTTTCAGAGTAAGCAGTTGTAATAATCACCTCCAAAAACTAGTTTTCTTTTTCTGTAGGGACATATACATATTTGCTTCTTGTTTGATTCATAATTAGACTTTTCTAATCCTAGATTATAAAGGAATTCACCCATATTCTTCTAGTACTTACAAAGTTTAATTTTTTTTGCATTTGACTCTGATCCATTTGGAGTTTGTTTTGGTATATAGAAAGAGGTATAGATCCAAATTTATCTTGTCCAAAATGGCTATCTGGTTGTTGCATTCATTTGTTAGTAAATTCGTCTTGTTGTCAGTGATCTGAGATGTCACTTTTATGTGGTTCTGCATTTTCCTCTTTAGCACGGGAGTGTCTGTTCATGCACCGAAACCATACAGTTGTATTCTTCATCAAGGCTATGTGGTAGAGCTAGTGCTGCCTCATTGCTTTTCTTTCTCAAGTTTTCTTCACTATTCATTTTTTATTTTAAAACAATCTCAACCATACAGAAAATTTGCAAGTACAGTAGAAGAAACTTTTTCTCCTGAGCTCCTTTTAGAGAAAGATGCTGACCTAATGCCCCCATCTCCTTTAAATACTTTAAGTATTTAAGTATTTCCTACAAATGAAGGCATTTTCATATAACCACAATGTAGCCATCAAATCAGAAAGTTAACATTATCACTATATAATCCTCAGACCCTATTGAGATTTTCCAAATGTCCCCCAAAATACCTTTATTTAAAAAGACAGTCCAGTCCAGAATCACATGTTGAATTTGTTTGTCAGGTCTCTTTAGCTTCTTCAATCAGGAGCAATTTCTCAGTGTTTCCTTGAATTTCTTGATCAGTACAGGCCAGTTATTTTGTACAAGTTTCCTCAATTTGGATTTGTCTGAATTTTTTTTCTG